TATGTACAAGCCTGGATGGATTGTAATTTGTTATCACTGAAAAGGCTATCAACATAGACCATCATCAATAATTTTTCCATTAAAACCTCCTCAGGTGCCTCTTCTTGGCATGGAAGTAACCCTGGGTTCTTGAAGGCTGTGAGTGGTACAGATTCATCGATGAATTACTCTGTGTCAACTTAAGACTAAACTAGCTAAGACTGGAAAGACTAACCACAATCAATCAATAACATGCTAGGCATCAGGGATACAAAGAGAAATGAAAGTGTCTGTCCTGAAGTTCACTTTCTATTGGGAGGAGACAATATATACACACAACATAAACAGAAGGTAATTTGAGGGCAGTAGCAGCTGTGAAGATCAGGAAAGATCTTATACAGCAAATAGTATTTGAACTGAGATTTGAAGGAAACTATGAATGCTGATAGAACAGCAAGAAGGCCAGTTTAGCTAAACTATAGTGAATGCGAAGGGGAATAATATTTAATAAACCTGGAAAGGTAGTTAGAGCAAGATTGCCAGGTGCTTTAAAAACCAGGGAAGGTTGCATTTGATTCTAGAGGAAAAGGGGAGCCACTGGAGTTTCTTAAAAGTGACATAAATCAGACCTATGCTTTAGGAATATCACTTTAGTAGCAGTGTGGACAATTTATTGGAGAGGGGAAAGACTTGAGGGAGATAAATTAGAGAGCTATTGCAAAAATCCTGGTGAAAAGTGATGAGGCCTAAAGAAGGTGGTAGATATCTGAATGAAGAGGAGGAAAAGGATGTAGGGGATTTTGTGGTGGTAGAAATGACAAGACTTGAAAACTGTTTAGTTATATTGTGATAAGGAAATATAAGGAGTGGAGGATGACACCAAATTTGCAAGCCTGGGTGACTGGAAGAAATACAAAAGTTTGGTAGAGGGGTGAGTTTTCGGAGGAAAATGGGTTCTGTTTTAAGTAGGCTGAGTTTGAAATGCCTATAGGACATTCAGTTCCATACACCAATAGGTAGTTTGTGATATAGGACTAGAGCTTTGGAGAGATACTATGTTTGGATTATAGATATGAAAGTCATCTAGAGAGAATATGATTAAATTTGTGGGAACTGATGAGGTCACCAAGTGAGAGAGAGTAGGGGAAAAGAAGAGGGTCCAAGACAGTGACTTGTAGAATTAGACGGTGTGATATATCATATCAGTGATACACCTATAAATTCAGAGTTAGCAAAGGTGACTGAGAAAAACCAGATAGGCAAGAAGAAAACCAAGATAAAATGTCACAAAAACCAAAGAGGACAAAATTTTCATGACAAGAGAGGGGTCAACAGTAATAAAGCCTTCACAAAAGTCAAGAATGCCAACTGAGAAAACAATATTGCCATAAAGAAATTTCTTTATATTGCCCTCATTTTCTTTCACTAAGACAAATCCATTTATTTTGTTCCCTGTACATGACATTCCATCTTCATGTGCTGAATCCTAGAATTCATTCCTCCCTCGCCTTTGCCTCGTGCCATCCCTAGCTTTCTTCAAGGTTCTGGTCAGTCTTGATCACATTTGCTGGTGCTTTCTCTTCCAAAATTACTGTGTGTGTGTGTGTGTGTGTGTGTGTGTGTGTGTGACAATGTTGGTTTCCCTACAGAAAGGTAAGCTTCTTAAAGCCAAGGGCTGTTTTTTGTTTTATTTTGTTTTGTTTTGTATCTTGATGCCTGACACAGTCACTTAATGCTTGTTGAATGACTGGCACATGGCAGCATTTAATGCTTATTGAATAAATGACTCAAACTTATCTACATGTAGGTTTTATCTATTCCTCTTCCCTTCACTTCCAGGAATCTCATTGGGAATGAGGACTTGTACATTATTTGAAGTTAATTATGTGTTTGGGGAGGGACATCAAAAAAGAAGTAAAGTTACTGAAAACAAACCTCAACCATTTTACACTTTTGTTAAGGACCACCTAAGGATTACCATACACCACATACAAGTTTGCTGTGTTTTTGTGGTGCCAGGCAAGTCATCTTACTTCAATGATTCAACATTTATTAAGCTAGTATTATGTTCCAGGCACTGTGCTAAGCCCTGGGGATACAAAAAGAGGAAAAGAAGTCCCAGCCCTCAAGGAGCTCACAGTCTAATGTGGGGAGACAACAAATACAAACAAACTATATACAGGATAAATAGGAATAATTAACAGAGAAAAGGCACTAGAATTAAGAGGAGTTGGGAAAGACTTCCTGTAGAAAATAGGATTTGAGTTGGAATTTAAAGGAAACCAGGGAATCTAGTAGGCAGATTTGAGAAGGGAGACAATTCCAGGTATAGGGGACAACCAGCAAAAATGCTAAGAACTGAGAGATGGAATGTCTTGTTTGTGGAATAGCAAGGAGGCTAGTTTCACCAGATCAAAGAGTACTTGGTGGGGAATAAAGTATCAGAAGAGAATGATAGGAGGGGGCTAGGTTATGAAGGGCTTTGAATGCCAAAAAGCTTTTTAAAATAATTTATTATTAGTATTTTTTTCCTGCTCCCTTCTGTATCTGGGCCATTCCAGTCATCCTGATCTATATCTTGCCACTGGACCCAGATGACTCCAGAGGAGAAAGTGAGGCTGGTGACTTTGTACTTCCCTCCCTCACTTAAATCCAATTCACATGGTCCTCTTTGAGAACAAGGACAAACAACAACTTTTGGTCCTAGAGGCAATGGAGAGTTTATTGAGGGTGATATGATTGAACCTGCAATGTAAGAAAATCACTTTAGTGGCTCAATGGGTTGGAGGGCAGAGAGATTTGAGGCAGGCAAGCCCACTAGCAGGCTACTGCAATTGTCCAAGAGGTGATGTGGGCCTGCATCAGAATATTGGCTGTGTCAGAGCATAATATTAGGGAGATTTTGCAAAATCACTGCTTTCACTGCTAAACTTGAAAAAGTTTACACTAAATACTCAATTCCTCACTTCTCACTCTCTTATCACCTCGCAATATAGACCCTCTTCCATATCATAAACTCTTTACTGAAACTACTCTCTCAAGGTCATTGTTACTTCCCAAACCAGCAGCCTTTTCTCAGTCCTCTTCTTTGCCTCTGCTGTAATATCTGGCAGTGTCAAACACTGCATCATATTATTGAATAATCTCTCTTCCCTTGTCTTCCTATACAGCACATTTGCTTGTTTTTCCTCTTACCTCTCCAGTTTCTCCTTTTCTGCCTCTTCATTTTCTTAAGGTTGAGGGTGCCCTAAGGTTCAGTCCTTGGATCTTCTACTCTCTTTTCCATTATACTCTCTCTGGCCATGCCATTTACTCCAAAAGCTCAGCTATCACTTCTACTGGCCCATCTCCAGTTTTGACCTCTCTCTCGGGCTCTGGACCTACATCTCTGACTGCTTATGAGACATTACTTAGATGTCACACTGGCAACTCACACTTGACATGCGCCAAACCAATCTTGTTCCCTTAAATCATCTTCTTCTTTCACTGTATCTATTGGAGTTACAACTATTCATCAGTTCTCCTATCCTCAAAACTTAGGTGTTATCTTTGTTTTTCACTCTCCCTCATGTTTTAAATCCAATAAATTAAATTTAACATCTACGTGTCTTGCTCATTTTACCTCCACATTCCTAGAATCTGTTCCCTGCTCTCCATTCCTACTGACACCATCCTAGTTCAGGTCTTCATTACTTCCTGCCTGGATTACTGCAAAAGTCTCCTTATAGGTTTTTCTGCTTCTTCCATTCTTCTCTGCAATCCACTCTTCATATAGCTTTCAGAATAATCTTTGATGGTCACCTTAGTCCTCAACTTCATTAATATTCAGTGGCTCCCACAATTTTCTTTTTTGCCTGGTAGCACACTACCTTTCTAGCCTTCTCTCCTACTATTCTTCTCTATAATCTATGCTCCAGCAAAGCTAGAAAATTTATAAACAAATACATATTGCAAATACAGTGTTCCTCACACACATATTACTAATACTGAAGAAGAATCCAAGTGTTTGTCAAAGTTCCTTGAACACACTCTGCACTTCATCTCTGTGCTTTTGACCTCTCGGTTTCCTAGGCCCGGAATGTCATCCTTTGCCTGTTCAAGTCCTCTAAGTTTAAAAGTCCAATTCAAATGCCAACCACTTCAGGATGCGTTCACTGACCCCATCCCTCTGTAACACCCTGTCTCCTTAGACCTCACAAAGCACATTTTTGCACCTCTCTAATGGGCAGGTGTATCATTCTGCTACTAAACTGAACGGCTGTACAAGCTTCTCTAGACTTTGTACTACCCCCAGCACTGTACAAAGCTCTGCAACCAGTAGAAGCGCAATGACCGCAATGAATTCCTGTCAGCCAAGGTTTCTTCTGTCTTGTGACAGAACCTGGACACCTCGAAAGTGACAAGAAAGCTCGTTATCCAGAACAAATAATTTCTCCGATACTCCTCCTTTCCCTACTGCTTTTTCTTCTATTTTTCTTGCCCTCTCGACTTTTTCTCCATTTTAACTCGGGTCTGCACCCAGACCTACTCTAGTCATCTCCATTTTCAACTCCACAGCCCAAGGCAGGAGTAGAAAACTCCCCCAGCGAAGCAGTTTAGCTGGCAGGTCAGCCCCACACATGCGCAATTGGTGAGGCAGGCTGCAGCGCGAGTAGCACAGTGCACGGTCGGTTGCCCTCCAACCGGCGACCCAGGCTCCGCCAATCAGGGGCCACCTTGTTGCCCGGAGGGCCCCTCCCTCCATCCGGGTTTGGCAGTATGGTGTCAGAGGAGGGTCATGAACCGTCCTTTTGAGGTAACCGGAGCCCGGGTGTCTTGCAGCCTGGGCCAGGTCGCCGTGCCCTCACTGGCCTAGTTTCTGTGTCCCTGTCCGTTGGGGAGCAGGGAGCCGGGGGAGTCGAGCTCCTGCTCAAGGAGCAGTCCGCCCGCCGGTCAGCAGGGCAGTCCATGCAGTTGAGGGGCTGCGGCGCCGGCGGCGGTGGTGGTGGTGGAGGAGGAGGCGGCGGCGGGCTCCGCGGCTCCAGAGCAGGCAGGGGGAAGGGGCCGGGCAGTCTGGGGCTAGGACCCTTCCTTTGGGCCCGGTGATCCCTTGGCCGCGCGGTGGAAGGGAAGGAGAAGGGGCAGCAGCAGGAGGAGGAAGCCGGGCCGCACCATCGCGGGCGAGCGAACGCCGGAGCAGGAAGATGCTGCTGTCCCTGGTGCTCCACACGTACTCCATGCGCTATGTCCTCCCGGCCGCCGTGATGCTGGGCACGGCCCCCACTTACATCCTGGCCTGGCTGGGCTGGCGCCTATTCTCCTTATTCCTGCCGGGGGCACGCATCTACCAGGAGGTGGACGATCGCTTCTACACCATCTACCAGAGCATGGTGCTTTTCTTCTTCGAAAACTACACCGGCGTCCAGGTGAGCACCCTCGTCCTTCCGGCCTCCCTCCCCCTGTTCCGGAGAGGCCCCCTTTTTGCTCCCAGTTACCTCAATTCTCCACCTCCCCTGGGCCTCCGGCTGCCCCAGGACTCAGAGGAGCAAGGAATTGACGTCTACTGACCCTACACGTGGTGGGGACGGAGGCTGGATCCGTAGCATAGACAAGGGGGCCGATTGTAATCTGTAGGCCCCAGTTTCTCTGCGAAGACGTTGAAAAAGGACCCTTCCAGTCTCACACTCGTTGATCCTCACTGATGCTTTTGGCACGGCTGGCCCAGTTTTGGAACCAAAATTTAGCAGACACAGGTTGTGCTTTAAGGTTGGGGAAGATTCTCAACAGATGCCCCAGTTCTTTCTAGCCTGTTCAGAGACTCTTTGGGCTATGTTAAGGTAGTCCCACTGTTTTGCTACCTAGATGAAAGTGCCCACCACTGGAGAGGAGAAAGGAAGTGCTTCTGTGGTTTCCCTAAGTATAAATAATGGGGAACCTAAAAAAAGTTAATTTCCCCCTCCCACAAAATACTGAGTAGAGCTTATTAGCAGTACTCAAGTCTTTGTAAATATAAGTGAGGCATGTAAATTGATTACTTCTGGCTTTTTGCCATAGAGTTAGCTGAGAATTGCCAGTGTTATGACACGTTTATCGCAGAATTCAGGAGTATATTTCTAGTTGTTTCTTCCTAAAAATGGTCTGTAAAGGTGAGCAGATGTTACCTTTTGGAAATGAAACACAACCTTTATAAACAGACAGATTCTTCTCCAATATTAATAATCTGTGGGTGAAGGAATTAGTCTCTCATTTGGCCAATTTTCCTTTAATAGCTTTGTGATTTAAAAAAATTTACTAATCACAGAATGCTTATCCTTGCTCCATTATGTTTATTAAATGTATACACGGAGTATGCCAGAGGGAAGCAATAAGATGTATTAGGAACTCTAACCCTAACTTCAATTTCAGCTGCAGTGTTTTTATACAAAAAAAAAGGTATTCTGATTTTTATAATTTGAAAAATAAGATCTAGCCTATATTTAATACTATTTTGTTGAGATTTATAGTATGAATGATTTAGACTTAGATTTTTGAGATTTATAGTATGAATGATTTACACTTTGATTTTTGAATGCTGTAGAGATTGTTTAGCCTTCAACATGTAGTTGGAAAACTTATTTTAACTCATTTTGCTGACCAAGGTAGTTTATACCTAAGAGGAAGTGGTGAAATATAGATTAGAATTTTCACTTTGTGACTCCTAGACCAAGTTTTTTGTTTGTTTTTACTTTCAGAATAGCTATTTATATTTCTACACTTGGCCTTCAGCTCCTGATGACTCTGCAGGGAAGTTGCTAATTTTCATTTAAGTTTTGCTAAAGCTCGATTGAAGAGGGAGAGGAGAGTTGAAAGAGGTTTAGAAAGAAATAGAATCTAATGGAAGCTAACGTCCCTCTAACCAATAGCTGTTTAAGAGGTTCACAAGGGCAGAAGGGAGAAGCATTGTTTCAGACTGTTCTATTAAATTACTTTAAAAATAGCTCTTGTTGGAGATTGTGGTTAGATGGCTTTTTGTTGTGCTCTTATTAATGTATTTCAGTTTCTCTATACACCACTTAAGTTTAGGATTTTCTAGGCTAAAATACCATTTTGCTATTGTAGATAAAAAGATTAAATAACTTTACTGCACAATAGTTTTGTTTCTTGTTCAATAAAAAAGAAATTTAAAAAATGAGTAGTATCCCATGCATTCTTGTTCTATCTCTTAAATATTTCTATTTAATGAAGTTTTAAAAAATATAAAAATTATGTTTACTCTTATATTCACTGTTTTGAGAAGTTCCATTTTGGACATTCTTTAACGTAACTATTAAATAGCTATATTGATAGCATGCCCAGAAATAGTAGAATAAAACTTCATTTATTTGCTTCTAACTAATTCAGAATTTGTGATCATTTTAGATCGGGGTTGAGTTGATCCAGTTTGCCAGTGTACTTAATTTGCATAGTAAATCTTTCCCCCCCAAAGTTCAATATTCATGAGGAAAATAGTTTGATGATTTAAAAATAAACATTTTAAAAATACTAATGAAACAGTGTTCTTAATTTAAATAGTAATTAGCTTTATTTAATGTGAGTAAGTGATAATTTACAGTCTGTATTGTAAAAGGTCATGTTATTGGATTCAACAAAGTGCCTACTTTGTGAAAGAAGAGTCTGGGGGACCTGGATTCAAGTCCTGACACACACACTGGTTTTTTTGACCCTGGGCAAGTCACTTAACTTTATAAATTCTAGAATAGTTTCCAATCTGCATTGGTAAAGGAAGTTTCTTCATGAGGAGCTCCTGACAAAATCATGGGTCCAGATGAAAAATGTGAAAGACATTTAGGTTCTGAACCTCTACTAGGCAGTACTTCATTCCAGTTACTATGCATAATTGCAAGTCATAATTGCATTAAAAACTTATAATTTAGGCTTTCCCCCATTAATTTAATCTTACTTTCATCTTTTCAACTTCCTTTTCTATCAATAGTTTGAAATGTTGAGACTTGATGTGCAGTTTAATATTTGGACCTTTCAATGTCCAGATTGCTGTACAGGGTTGGGAATATGATTTTGTTAGGTACAAAACTTCCTTTGGAAAAACAACTCAAAAGTGCAAGTCTTACTGATGGTACATAGGTAAGTGACTAGTATGTCAACTGCAGCTGGGTGGTTCAGTAGATAGAGTGCTGGGCTGGGAGTCAGGAAGATCTGAGTTCCAATGTGACTTCAGACTATGCCAAAAGAACCCAAATGAAGTCATGACTAATTGGATAACAAAAAGCATAGCAATTATAATGCCTTAGTTATATTTGTGTAGTACTTTGCAATTCCAGTTTTAAGATATAATTTATGAGTTTATATGTAGAGGTATATTTTATATATATATCTACACAATTATAGATATATAATATCTATGCCTACCAGTAACATACTTAAGACCATTATGCAGTTTCTGTCATTCTAAAAGAATAATGTGTGAAATTGCCTGTTGTATTTTATATACTGTTTTATACTGCTATGGTGTTTTATTAATAATATAAATACCTTACTTGGAAATACAAATGGATTTCATTCAAGCCTTTTGAGTTTAAGTACCTCAGGAACATTTTATTTTATTTTATTTTATTTTTGGTGAGGCAACCAGGGTTAAGTGACTTGCCCAGGGTCACATTAGTGTCAAAGTGTCTGAAAGCAGATTTGAACTCAAGTCCTCCTGACTTTAAGGCAGGAGCTCTATCCACTGCGCCACCTAGCTGCCCTTTAAGAACGTTGTAGGTCTCATCTTAACTGTAGGGATGTTAAGTGACATCTAAAGTCTCATAGCTAGTATATTGGTGATTAAATGAATGAAAAAGCACTAAAGTAACTGTTACAATGTGCCAAGCATAGTGCTAAGGAGATAGAAATTATGAAAGCAGACAGTCCCTTTTATCTAGTAGCTTTTACTTTAATAGTGGGAGAATTTAACACAAATTAGGGAAGTAATGGCATTACAGTAATTTTAATTTGAAATGATAAGTGGAGCCCTGAAATAGATAAATAAAGATGATGATGCTAATGATAAACATTTATATAGAACCTGCTGTGTATGTGCCTGGCACTCTGCTAAGTATTTTGCAAACATCTCATCTGATCTTAACCCTTCAAAGTAAATACTATTATTATCCCCATTTTATAGATGAGGAAACTAAGGCATAAGGCAGATGGTGATTTAGTGACTTGCCCAGGATCACACAGCTAGCAAGTGTTTGAAGCAGGATTCAAGCTAAAGTTTTCCTGATTCTGGGTCCAGTGCTTTATCCATTGTTGTGCCACCTTGTTGCCCCTAAGAGATTGACAGCTCTTTCCAAGTTCAATGAGCTAATAAGAGATGGAGTCAGAATTTAAAAAAACAAACTTTTTTGGATAGGTTAAGAAACAGGTGGCTCTTTATGGCAGTTGAAAGAAATATGGGAATCAAAAGACCTTGGATTTAGCTCCCCCTGCTACTATTCCAGGGATGATCCTTATTTAGAAATATAAAGAATATCACTTGATACATAATTCTGCATACTAAAATAGTGAATTTTACTCATTATCTTTTTATTATTTTTCTTTTTTTATATATTTTTATTCTGAACTTAAAAAATAAAACAAAGATTTCCATAACATAGTGGAATAGAAAAAGAAAAGATGATTGTACATGAAACTGCAAGTCTATTATGTACAAGTTACTATTCCTTTTAAATCTGTAATAAACTTATAATTGTTGAGGAATGTTAATATTGACATCATGTAACTTTCTTTTTTTTTTCTTCCCCCCACTAGAGATGGCTACCATTAGACACAGATATATATATATATATATATATATATATATATATATATATATATATATATATATATATATATATACACACACACACACATATATATGTAAAACATTCTTTACATACTTCTATTAGTTCTTTCTCTGGATGCAGATACATTAGTTCACATTTATAAAAGTGATTGCCACTACTATACATTTTTTAAAATGGGAAAATAGGTTCACTGAAATCCAAATAAACTTGCATTATTTTGGTGAAAAGCCATTTCCTAATTGTGCTCTGTGAAATAAAGGGAGTGTGGAAGGGAAATTTGCAGTAACCATGAGGGCACTTTCTAAGTCTGGAATCTCCATGAAAGAAGTGCCCCTCTCTGACAATATTTCAACAGCTGCTCATTCCTATCTTCTATTCTTGGTCTAAACTTGAATGAAATGTTTTTTTCTTCAAATACTTTAAAGGGAGGAGGGGGAAAGGGATGTATTACTAAATAACTTATTTTTTTCTTTCCAATGGGTAGTTTTTAAATGATCCTGTTATGAAACTTTAGAAATGAATTCCTTGTTCTTTCCCTCAGCTATTTTATTTTACTTTTTTAAAAATTCCATTTTATTCATTTTTAGAGTAGTAGTGATTCCTCTCCCTTTCACCAAGTAAAATATTCTTGACCTATTTTTAAATTTCCTCTAAGGCTCAACTTGGATGCCATCTCCTACAGGAGATCTTTCCTGATCTCTCCCTAAGAAAAATTGCCTTTTATGTTCTTTGTACTTAAATATTGCACTCCTCTAGAAATGAAAAAGCAAATAAAAACAGAAAGACAAAAAAGAAAGACAAATGTCTTTGAAGGCAAAAGACTAGTTCCATTTTGTTTTTGTATCCCTATCATTGAATGCATCATCTTGTAAGTTTCATAGGTGTGAAGAACTCTTGACTGGAAACTTTTTCACTATACACATGAGCACACTAGTCTTCAAATTCTAAGTTCAAATCTGGCCTTAGACATGTAGTAACTGTGTAACTTTGGGTAAGTCACTTAACATCTAACTGCCTCAGTTTCCTCAGTTGTAAAATGGGAATCATAGTATCAACTACTTCACAGAGTTGTTGTGAATATCAGATGAGAGAATGTTTGTAAATCACTTAGCACAGTTCCTGGCATATGGTAAGGTAGGTGCTTAATACATGCTTATTACTTTCCCTTTCTTCTTAGGGGTACCAAAGGTTAAGTGACTTGCTCCAGGTTCACATAACTAATAAGTTATCAGAGGCAGGACTTAATCTTTTTGACTCAAAGTTAGATTCTATATTTGCTATGCCATGTTCCCTCTTGTCTCACGTACTTAATAAAAGCTAATTAAGTTGAAATGACCCCTAAAGTATTACCATAAAATTCAAACCATTGAAGGAATTAGAGGTCATTTCTTTTTGAAGTGGCATATTTCTCTTAATTTTCAAACAAAGAAAATGATTTGTTATATAGTGACTGAATTTTTTTCCATTTACATGGAATATTTAAGATGAAGAGAAGTAGGGCCATGAAGTTCATGATCTTCTATGCTTGGCAGCTAAACCTGCTTTTAACAAATATTTTTGATTATTTCATTGGATTCTAGTTTTTTTCCAGTTCAACTAGTTTATATTGTTATAAGCTACAGAGAAAAGGAAAAAAAATCACATTATAGTTTTAGCTTTCCTTTAATTTTCAGTCATAGCTTGTTACATTGCAGTTTCACATCTGACTTATTTTAACTAAGTTTAACTAAATTTAACTAAGACCCTATTTCACCATATTTTTTCAAGTTTAATATACATGATAAATCATTATTTAAAGTAAAAAAAGTATTTCAAGAACTATAGTAAGGCTTCATTCAGATCATAGAATCTAGAGGCAGAAGGAATCTTTATATTACATGGTTTTTCCTCTCTTCTCTACCCCTTCTCATTTTACAGATGAGGGAACTTAGGCCTAGAGAGTTTAAATAACCTCGCCGAGGCCACAAGGTAGCAAATAACAGAACTGAGAATTAAACCCAGGTGCTCTTACCCCAAATCCAGTGCTCTTTCCACTGTGTACAGCTTTTTTATGCTCATTTCATAACTTGTATCTTACTTAAAGTACAGGAAATATTTATTGTGATTTTCTGTGCTGTGGTTTTGAACATATAGTGAGTGTATCAGTGGGTCTCTATAAAAATTTTCTTTTACATTTCTTCTGTCCTCCTCATATGAGAATTGATTTTGTATTTTACTTTAAAGCTAAAATTCACATAAAAAAATTGAACCATTTATGTGTTATGCCTTAAATACAAAATAGTCTTTAAATATTGGCCTATAACAAGGGGGCAAGGAAAACAGAAAAATCTAATGTTTAATGTTTCTATAAATCTTTAGGGAAGTTGACACAGTGATTTAAAGCTGAAACATATTTTCAGATTCTTAAGGGAAACATTTCAAGGCTTTCATATCTAGAGTACATTTGTAACCCCTTCTTTGTGTATGCTGGAGTCCTTCATAAATACCATACACTTTATGAGTTGTATTTAATACTTTCATGTAAATTACATTGATGAAAAGGCTATTATTTACATATAGTATTCATTGTATAGAGAGACTGATAATTATGTTCCTTTTTTTCCTATTGTATTTTTTATTATACTGATTTGAAAACAAAGGTGGTAGAATTGTTTAGTTTGGAAGCATAATAGAAACTTGATAACAGCAAGTTATAAGCTTTTATTTACATCTTATTTAGCAAAATGACTTTCTTAAATAGGACGCAACAGATCCAATAAAATATAGTCACTTTTAAACTAAATGATAAACTCACTGTTGTTTAAGTCTAAAGAAAAGTGATGTAGAATTATATTTTTGTACTTGATAGGAAATGTAAAATTTTGACAATTATTCTTCATAGTACTAATAAAATTACTAAATATTCTTCATAGGTTTCTTTTTAAGGACCTTATTTTATGTAAATTAGTGAAAAACTAACTCTTACTAAATGAACAGTAACTTTTTAAAAAGGCCTTTACTGAAAGAAAGCCTGAAAGCAACACAAAGAATGATGGTACTCATATCACTTCTTGAACCCGAGGGATCCACAGAGAGTTTTCCTGAAATAAAATTTAGTTATTATATACATGTTTAATTTGTTTGCATTATCTGTAAATGTGACTGTGGTGTTTATTAGACTGTGAAAAAGAATTGCAATCACAATGATTCACTAATACTTCTAACTAGGAGGTAATAGTTGTCCATTGAGTATTAAAATGTCCAATAGCTTCCCTCATGAGATGACTTAAAAATTACCATCAACACTGAAAAACCTTGGTGATTCTATTAAGTATATGAAATATAAAATAGGAATATTATTGATTTAAAATGTAGAGTGAAATTTTAATGTGTGTTTTATTATGTTAATATTTATACATAGACAAGTGAATTTATATCTACGTGGCTTTATAGTCTTGGAAACATTAACCAAATGATGAAAGACTCCAACATTGTCTATTTTCTTTGATTTTATAAACTTTATTACTTGTGTGTTGCTTTCTTTTTGGTCATAATCTCATTTATCTTGTGAGATTTAATAATTCCACTTAATGGGAATAGTATTTTTAGGAGGATTAGTAGTTTGCAATTTGTAATCTCTAGCTTGATATTTTTAGATAGTTCTACCTTTCACCTTATACCAAAAAATGTTTTCCCCATGCCTTTATTTCTGTTGAGAATTGTTTTGAAAATAATGGACAAATAAACAATTATTTCAAGGGAGAAAAAGTATAATTAGTCACAAATATCTTTTGAGAAAATCTCTCCCTCATAAAATTACTCATGAGTATTTTCAATCATGTGTGAACATGTTAGGTTTGACTATCATCGTCTGTTGCATAATAGCTGCAAAGCACTTCTAGAAAGTCCAGATATATTTGCATGTTGGGGAATCTTGAGAGAAAGAGCAGCCCTTATTAAGGGGGTTTTATTAAGAGCAGCAATTGACTTGATATAATTCATGAGCTTTTCTTAATCAACTAACTGAAATCTATGATCATTAATTTTTTTTTATTATTCCATGAAATGCAGGATTTTCTCAAGATGTTACCCACACACTTGTTTAGCAATGTTTTGTGTGTTGAATTTTGCAACTTGATCTAATCAAAGGATTTTGTTGGACAGTTTTGAATTGTGTTATCATATAAGAGAAAGTATTTAATTTGTAGGAAGACTACATCTAGTGGATATTGTTGGAGTCACACAACTTTAAGTGTACGTAGAGAAACAAGCAGTATATTCTGGATTAGGGATCAGAGTTTAAATCAAAGCTCATGATTTATCATTACTTGCACAGTTTTGACCAAGTCACTTAACCCCTTTGTCCCTCAGATTTCTCATCAGATGAGGAGGTGGGGGGACTAGATGATTTCTAAATTCTTTTTCAGCTCTAATTTTATGATAAAATTAGAAATCCTAGGGAGCTGTAACTATTCCATTGGCTTCCATTTGGGGCAGTTAGGTGGTGTAGTGGATAGAGTTCTGTGCCTGGAGGTAGGAAGACTGGAGATACTTCCTAGCTGCGTATCCCTGGGAAAGTCAATTGACCCTATTTACCTCAGTTTCCCCATCTGTAAAATGAACTGGTGAAGGAAATGGCAAATCACTCCAGTATCTTTGCCAAGAGAACCTCAAACGGAGTCATGAAGAGTTGGACACAACTGAACAACAACATTGTTCCATTGAACTTCTCATTGCTCTGCCCTCAAAAACCTCATATTCTTTTTTTCTGGACTGCAGAGTGGGTAGATTTCATGTCTTTATGTAGTTTTAATATCTCTATTTCCCCTCTGCATAAATAGTATGGTGGAAATAATAATTACTGGCACTTAAGTAATAATTAAAAGATTTGCAAAATGCTATATACATTCAAATCTGATCTTCAAAATAACCCTATGAGGTAAGTATTAATGGTATTATTTCAATTTTATTGATGAGGAAATCAAGTTAGCCCCTAACAAGTTAAGTGACTAGGCCTATTGACTAAGACCATGACTAAGTGTCAGATGCAGAATTAAGCCAATATTACTCCTGGCTCCCAAGTCTGGCACCCTAAATTAACTTATTCTTAATAACATCTGTGTGAGAAGAGGACAGTAGAAATGACTGTTTTGATCATTATTTCATCTTTTCACTTCTGACTTGCCTCCTATTTCTTAGTGCCACTTGGTCTTGTGGGCTCTGAGGGTCCCCTAACTTTAAATCACTGGTTGTTGTCGATTGTGTACATTTCTATTCATGACATCTTGTACATACATGTGCCTTTGTTAATACTTCATTATTTTTGTTATATCTTATTTTGTAGGTTAAAGTGTTGAATGTTAATTTTAAAAACTACACCATCAGAAAGTAATGTTTTCCTTTTTGTTGTTGTTTTATCTTTTAGATAATACTATATGGGGATTTGCCAAAACATAAAGAAAATATAATATATTTATCAAATCATCAGTGCACAGGTTTGTATTTTGTTTGTCTGCAACCTAGGTCTTTTTTTTAGGTACATAATTAGTAAAAATAGGTCTACCATCCTTAACCTTTTAAGTGAACTATATAAAATATATACCTTGAGTGTGGATGTACCTGAGCTTATTTTTTTGCATTGTGCATGTTTTTGAAAAGTTGGGCATGTTAAAACTTTTTTTAAACCTCTTCTACCTTTATTTATGGTGTATTAAATCACTACCAGTTAAATTGGGTCATCAAAAGGCCTTTTTAGGAAGCTATAAAAACTTGTTTGGGTAAACATGCCTTGGAAACAGTGTGATAATTGATAAATTTCATGTTGGATTTGGATGAACACCTTTTCACTATATTATGTCTGCTTTGCTCAGTACCAGGTGATTCCCCCCTGAGCGATATTTTTCCCCCTCCTAATGAGTTGGGAAGAATGCCATGTTTACTTTAGGCTTCTGGGAGAAATATGTATCTATATATTCATGTATAAAAATAATCTTACACTTTCATATTGATATAATTTGTAAGTTCATTGTATTACATAAGGAGAGTCAAATAAAGAGCCAGCAAGGCCTGGGTTTAAGTCCTGCCTCTGATATGTACAACAGTCTAAGATTATAAGTTATAGTGAAGATGCTGAACTACTTTGGTGGAGAGAATTTCCTTGATTGGGATCTCCCTGTACCAATAAAATCACAGGCCTAAACCCTGTCTGTGTCTCTAGCCTGCTTACATAAAAGTGGTGAAGTTGGCCTTGCAGAAGAAAACCTCTATCTTGTAAATTATCTTTTTTAAAAAAATCTTTAAATTTTATTAATGTGCTTTGTTTTTATATCACTTTCAATTCAGACTATATCCTTTTAATCCTCTCCTAATGAGTGAACCGCTAACAACAAAATAAAAATAAAGAAAAAAAGGAAATCAGTACAGCAAAAGTCACCAACACATCAATTGAGTTTTATAAAATAGGATATGTATTGTTCCACATTGAATCCCCACACGTCTTTAATGAAGAGAGGGAGATGGTATTATAACTATACAGTGTTCAGAGTTTTTTTTTATGGTTGTATTTCATCTTTTCTATTAAATACTTCAGTTTTGTATTTTGCCAAAAATATTTGAAAAAGATGGTTTGTCTTAGATATATGGGATTTTCATAGTTCATATATAAACAGTTTTGTGTAGGAGACTGTATAACCTTTGCAGAAATAGGATATTTTTAGCTGTCTAAATGCGTATTTGAGTTCAATGACTTAGAAATGGAAAAGGATTTTGATATTTGATCCATTTGTCATCTTTCAGATAGTAATATTCTTACCATTCCAGATGAATTCTTCTCTAAGACCATGAGGAAAGAGATAGAATAGGTTGCTATGGAAGTTCTTCTTTTATTTAAGAACTGTATAGGCAAGTTTTTAATGTCTGCTGATAAGAATTTTGCTGTATTTAAAATCTGCTTCATTTTTGTTATAGTTTAATATCATTTTGTTTATGTACTTTGTCTTTGCTATTATAACTTAGTATACTTTAAGATGTTCACTATATTGGTGCACTTAGTATAGATACCTTTGGCACCTGGACTAGAATGAAGGCAAGGGAAATAAAAGATGAAACTGAAGTTACTTCATTTTGCTCTATGTTGACAATTTTGATAGGAGAGTAATTTGAAGTCCTAGGCTACAATTAAGATTTGGGGTTTATTTTAAGCTTAATATATCCATATTCTCCCTGACCCTGATTAATGTGACCAGCAGGATCTGTATGATTTAACTAGCATGACTATAGCTGAAAATACCTATTTAACAGGATTGACAGCTGCTTAAAAACATGCCCTGTATTTTGTTAAATTTCTTCCTATACTTTGCTTTTCCTTCTGTTAGCACAGTCATTATTATTAGAAACACATTATTACTAATTAATTAGTGTTCAGGTGATGGTTGATTTTTTTTCTTTTCTTTTTTTCTTTTTGATGAGGCAATTGGAGTTAAGTGACTTGCCCAGAGTCACACAGCTAGTGTTAAGTGTCTGAGGCTGGATTTGAACTCAGGTCCTCCTGACTCCAAGGCCAGAGCTTTTTTCACTGCACCACTTAGCTGCCCCTGTTGGTTGATATTTTTCAATTTCAAGTACAGATATACAAATAGAAGATACTTACTGTACCTTCAAGCAAATATGGAATGGTTTATTTCCCTAAGTTCTTCAAAGACTCCAAGCAGGTAGAAACTCTAAAACCATATAAGATTTAAAGCCCTTTCTTTTTTCCTAGATCCACTAGAGGTTCCAGGCACCTCATAATGATATTTTGCCAGTTAATCATAGATTATTTAGTGCCTTGTTTTTAGGTAAGACAGTCTTAACAAAGAATGCTTGGCCAGCTTCCCCAAAATTCAGTAGATATCTGAGGGAAAACAGGAGGTCCTGATACCATTATCTTCGTAGTTAACTCAGAGTTATCTTTGACTTGTCCCCTCTCCCTAAACCATATCTAGTCATTTATCAAATTCTGTCCATTTTTAGCTCTATGACACTTCTCATTTCACACCTTAGTCTCTTTCTCTATCCTAGTTCAGATATTCATCATCTATTGTAATAGCCTCCTAACTGCTCTTTCTATCTCTAGTCTTTCCCTGTACTTTCATCCCTAAAACTTCTAAAATCATCTCCCTAAAACCTTTACTGGCTCCCCATTATCTTTGAGATCAAATATGAAGTCCTTAGATTGGCAGGCTGATAATCTCTACAGTCTAATTCCAGTCTTCATGCAGTCAATATTCCAGCCAAATTGAAACTACAGGACTGCTGGCTTTTTCCATATTGCATTTGCCACCATTCCTATAGTGCACTTCTTCCTCGATTCTACCACCTTCTCATGAAACCATCCATGGTTCCCTAGCTATAAGTTTTCTTTTCCTCAAATTTTCCTGGAGCACTTCATCTAACTTGTCCTTTGCTATCTTCATATCTTGCCTTGTATTGTGCATGTTGTCTTATCGCTGCTGATAGAATGTAAGCTCATTGAGTTCTGGGACTGTATTTTGTCTTTCTTTTTGTCCCCACTGCTTATTACAGTGCTTGGCAGATGTACAGTTATGAAGGGACATAGTAGATGCTTAATTAAAACTTGTAGACTGCTTGAATAAAATGTTAAGTTAAATTGAATTGCCTCTTCTACATGAATGCTGATAGGCTCAAGATAGGTGGTACTCTGGAAATATAAGTGAACATGAGTTACCGAAGGAGTTTGAAAATTCTCACTGGCATCTAGGGGTAGAGGTGGGGGTACATCTCTCTTTTTATTTCTGGAAAAGAATCTTCAGGTGCCTGTAGCATTCCCAATTTTGAACTAGTCCAAATCCTAACTCTAAGGAGCATTCAAATTTCTAAAGTTACCTCACAATGTGGTGCCCATAACGTAACACATTGAACCTCTTAACTATTATATCTGTTTCTTTGCTAGTCTTGGATACATTACTCCATCTTTACTTCTCAAAAATTATAGCTAAATGTTTTTGCAAGTTATAATTTTAATCACGTGCATGTTCTGGTTTGACATGTAAAACAGCTTTTATTTACTGTTATGTGTGTATTCCCCTCTTATTAATCTTTCCAACTAAATCACTTCTCTTGTATACACAGTCTCTTGTCCATTTATCACTTTTACTGTAATCAATAATTATATAACTTTTGATATTTTTCCCCTTGTCTTCTGTGAAATTTCCCTACCTCTCAACTGCCCTTTGGTTTTTATTGTCTTTGATCATTTGTGCTTACTCTCCCCTATTCAGTCTACCTGTTAATTAGATCCTAGATTTGAATCTCATCACAGCTATTAATTCAATTTGAGTATTTATTGAATACCTACAATTTACCAGGCATAATGCTAGTTGATGGTGATTTCAACACAAAAAGAAAACAGTTACTGTTTTCAAGGAGCTTAGGTTTTTATGGGGGAAAGCATGTACAAAGATGAGTAAATTCAAAATAGAGCATATCCACCATAATTTGGGGATGGGAAAAATACTAGTGACTGGGGAAATCAGGATAGGCCTGGGGACATGCTACTTGACCAGAATCTTAAAAGGATGATGTGGGTATAGTGAGGAGGAAGAAAATTCCAAGTATGGAAGACAGTCTGAAAAGGTACAGAGGTAGGAGAACATAGTGTTGTATAAGGTAAGTATGTCAGTTTGGCTAGAATATAGGATATGCAAAACAGGGTCAAAATGGAGTAAATCTGGACAAGTTGGAGCCAGATTGTGACAGAATTTTTAAGTGCTGAACCTAACCCAGGTGTATTATCTTGGGCAAGTCCTTTAACCATCATTCTTGAGTTTTTGTTTTCTAATTTACAAGATGGGGATGGTAATTATTATCTACTTAACGGTTGCTTTGGGAGAAACATTTTCTAAATGTTAAAGCACTATGTAAATATGAGTAGTTATTATATCATTCTCCTATATTGCCACTATAAGAAAAAAAGTCAGAAGTATTCAGGAGGGAAGTGTGTTTTTTGAGTCAATGTTGGGGAATATTACTCAAAACATTTATTGATACCCTAAGTATAAACTATACTCGTAATGATTATTAATACAGAAATAATTGTTGGTGCTTAGCCATCTGGCAGCTTTATCCAAAAGCTTTATCCAAAACATAGCCAAGAACTCAAAAAGGAAGCAAAAAGAAGGCTTCTAAAGAGCAAAAGTGTGTCACAAACTGCACTTTATGATAGAATTCATTCTACCCACCCTAACCCCTCCCCCCCTTATTCAAAGCCTATTTGCTTATTAGAATTTGTGTATGGTAAAGGTTTTGTTACCTGGTTTCCTAGCTTGCAGTGACTTGGGGAAGAAATGCTGTTAGAGACATACTGATGTCATTGAAAAGTGACAGCTGTTTTTCTGGTATCATGGGAAGAAAAGTATAAAAAGCAGACATGAAATAAATCCTGCAGTCCAGAGCAATCTTAAGGGTCCCACATCTCTATATACTTCTGTGGTTGCTGAGGGCATCACTTTGTCAACCCAATATAAAATAACAAGTGTTAGGGCTGCAGGGTACCTGAGAAATCATTGAACCCAATGCCTTAATTTTTCAGATTAGAGGAAGAGCTAAGAGAATTGGAATAACTAACTTGTCCCGGGTTACAGCCAGTCAGTGTCAGAACCAGATGAGATAGATTGCAGGTGTTTTAACTCCTAGCCCAGTGTTCTTTTTACTTTATCAAATTGTTTTACTTTAGAATCATGACCCTAAGTCATCAAGAAAAGGTTAAATTATGTTTCGTGTATTTCATGTATGTTTTCTGTAGGCAGGGAAGTGTTTAGTTCTTCATTGATGTTGGATGAATTTTTGGTGCTTCAAGATGGGAGGTGGCAACATTTGTAGAGAGGAAGATAACTCTTGGCTATCAAGAAAACTAAACAAATAATATCCTTAGAGTTGACAGTCATTTAAGAGATCATTTAACTCCATAACAGATCTAGAACTAGACAGATTTCTGACTGACTTCAGTGTTTGTTCATGTTATTTTCCATTCTTTGAGGGATCTGGGATACACTACCACCACCAACCTCAAAACAAAATTTCTTCCATCATATAGATGGGATATGAATCAAAGAGGTTCTAACTAGGCCCTGGGAATACCTGTTCATTCTCAGGATTGTTGAGGGGGGAATGATAAAAGAGAGGGACAAACTCTGGATATCAGGCAGGTGTGCCCATGTTCTAAGTACTATGTTGTGAAATTATTACTTACCCTATAAGAACAGTCTGTGTATTTTCCCAGAGAAGAATTACATAATTTGAGAGTTGGAAGGTACCTTAATGATCATTTGGTCCAACTCCTGGACAAGGAATCCCTACTAAAACATGCCCAGCAAATGGTAAATACAAGTCTTTGCCTTGTAGACCTTTTGGGGCAGTTCTAATTGTTTTCTTGACATCAAACCTCAATTTGCCTTTTTTGTACCATTAAAGTCTAGTTCCTCTTCCTCATGACAGACCTTCAAATACTTGAAGACAGGTTTTATATCCTCCTGAGTCTTTTCTTCTTCAGGCTAAATATGTATAGTACCTTCAAATCTTCATTCATCCAATAAGATACTAATCTTTCTTATAGTTGGTAGCTATCATGTTTTTTAAAAAAATTTCTAAATCAACATCTACAATCCTCTCTGTAATTTTAAATTTGTAATGGGAAATTTCCACATGGATATCCTATTCACACATTAATGTTAACATTGCCAACTTCGCCATCCATTTTACCCTTTTTATAAATTTTTTATCCTTTTATAAATTCTAGATTGATTTCAGTATTAGTATTCTGCCCAAAACCAACAACCTTAGAATATTTTTGGTTCCTTCCTATCTTTTGTCTCTTTTATTTATCTATGGCACCTACTTTTTAATGTAGTATTGACTTTATGCTTCCTATTTCCATAGTCTAGGACCTTATGATCTTGTGCCAAGATGGCTGTGAAAACTTCATAGTCTTCTCTCAGTATTTTTTTTATTCAGTTGTGTATCCAGCTAATAGAAGTGCCTTTTCAAGCACAAACCATGTTTTTCTCTTCTGTTTAAGAATCTATTCCTTGTTTTAATATCCAGATTTTTCTCCTTGTCCTTTAAGGCCTTATATCAGTTATATACCTTTCTTTTATCCCATTTACTGTTATTATTACCTTTTCTAGTCCTCTTTAAGTGAAGTTAATTCACTTTCCATTATCTGTATATCACTTGCATATTTCTATTTTTGTACTTATGTATATTTGACATTCCCTTTTCTTAGAATACTGCCCTCTCTTTTTTCTCTTTAAAAATTATTAAAAATAACTTAAAAGTTTTCTATTATGGATTTCACCAGATCCTATGCTTCTGTTTAACATTTTTAAAAAATCAGTTGTCTTTTTGTACTAAATTGTGTCATACTTGGTTTATATTTTGCTCTGTAAGTGTATTTTCAGTTAGTTTAATACACACACACACACACACACACAAACACACACACACAAATATTATACATTCAACTGAGCATAAGCCTCTTGAGGGGAGGCACCATGTCTTTCCTGTGTGTTTCCATACCACCATACCATTTGTCTGTGCACAACAAATTCTTAGTAAATCTAGGCCAGGGATAGGAAACCTGTGGCCACATGTGGCCTTCTAGGTCCTTGAGTGTGGCTTTTTGACTGAGTCCAAATTATATAGAACAAATCCTTTTATTAAGGGGATTTGTTATATGAAGAAGACCTCAGGGAAGTTCCCCAACCCTGATCTAGGCTGTCTTTTCTGTTATGGATCCCATTTGAATTTTTCAGTCAACAGAAGTTAGATACAAAGAAAAAAACCCCACTAAGTTTTACCTTTTTGTGTTATTCCCCATTTCCATTTTAGAAGAGAAATTATTTTTGACATGTTTTTATGTTTTTTTGTCCCTTACATAAGTTTAATTTGTGACTGGGTTTTTTTTTAAATGACCATTTAATTCGTATGATATTTAAGAAAAATGTAATAGAATTTTGCTTCTTTTAGGGGCTAATTTTATGTTTATTGCATCTAAAGTTGTTATTTGATTATGTCTGTTGCTATTATTTTGTTTTAAATTATGGAGTTGATGGAACTTTTAGGCAACTTTTGAAGCAGTTTTGCACTAATGAGTTTGGGTTTCTTTTGGCAGTTGACTGGATTGTTGCTGACATTTTGGCAATCAGGCAGAATGCTCTTGGACATGTACGCTATGTTCTGAAAAATGGCTTAAAGTGGCTTCCGTTGTATGGGTGGTATTTTTCTCAGGTAATTATTTTCATTTATTTTCTTAAATTTTATGATGATATTATCGGACCCAGCATCTTATTCTAAACTGAAATACTTTTATGATAAGCTTCTTTCTAATGGTACATGTAGATGATTTGAAAGAATTTTAAAATGTAGTAAGTTTGAAACTTTAAAGTCTATAAAAGGTAAAAGTGATTTTGAAGGTGTCATATTTCGTGTAATATTACCTTAAGAAATAAAATGGTAAAGGAAATAATGCTCTCCAGGATTATATATCCCTTAGTAATTAGTCATTAATTCCTTATGATCTTTCCCTCATTTTATAAAGTGTAACTGTCCATGTTTTTATTTTTCCTGCTAAAATTATTTGACATTTAAAATTTTCTCAAGTATGAAAGTGGTCATATATGTGAAAATAACCATAAGGTATTGGTCATGTTGTAGTAGAGGGACATTTTAAAAATAGTTGAAGGATATAGATATCAGATAAAAATTCTATGGTATAGATGTCAGACTAGAAAGATTTTGCATTATTACCATGGATAATATGTACCCTCATTAGTTTGTATCATCCATAAATTTAATTATCTGTTACAAGTGTTTTGGAATTATATTTTATATTTTTCATTCATTTTTCTATGCTATCTATATTTTCCTCTTTGTTGTTCTGTTTACACACCCTCAAATTTCTTAAAATTAAAACCCATATTATCTTCTGGCAAATAAAAGCAATTATGTGTGATGTGTGAGCTGTTGACTTCATCAGACTGGCAAAAGGGAATTCATGACAAAAAAGATTAAGAACCCTTGCTTTAATATTCTTAGGTAATAAAGCAGGTACTAAATATGTACTGATAGAGAAACTTTATCTCTTGAGAGTGCCCCATACCGGTGAACGAATAGTCAAAGGTCTGCACCAAAAAAAAAGTGTGTGTGTCTCTTTACTATGTCTATATATATTTTAAGAAAAACCGTTACTGACTTTGGGACTTTAAACAGGTTCATATTGTTACATCTTATTTAGCAACAGGTGTTGTTTTTATTTTTGTTTGATAATAAAGACCTATTATTTTCATTCACACTTACTGATAAAACCAAAACTCATTTTATGAAATGTTCTCAATATAATGGATATGTAAACAGAATTTTGCTCTGAGTTTTATAATTGCTAAATTCTTTGACCTGCTTTTTCTATGTGGAATTTGACTGAAATATTTTTTTTTATTAGAAATAGAAATCAAATAAGGGAAATAACAGAGATTGGTAATGAGATTTTTCAAGACAAATCAAATTGGCCGGTTTTATCTAACGAGTTATCTTAAGATTTTAGGACAAAACTGTCAAAGGCCAAAAAGAGGTCTCAATAATAATTCACTAAATCTATTTTATATCTGCTTTGCAAATAACGCCCACTATTACACCAGAGTTTTTACTCCTTTCCTATTACAAGTTATTTCGTATCTCCTTACTCGCTGTTTTTAGCTTTTAAGTACAAAACTCCCATTCTTTATACTTATCATTTATTATACCATTATATCATAAGTGAGTACAAAGATTATGATGTGAAATCAAAGAATGTCAAAATTAAAGGGATACTGATGATCACCCAGCCCATTGCCGCAATTACACTTAGGGAAACAGTCTTCAAATAATACAGTTGAGCCTATATAGGTTTTTCAATGAAATTTAAAATTAATATAATTTTAGTAGCCTATTGCTTGTAGGTATGTTAATTTTTTTAAAAGATGCCTAGAGTTAATTAATAGATGCTGGTATATTTGTAAAGTCTTTGTTATTTTTGTACAAACTTTCATCACTGTGGGGTTTTCCTCTTTTCCTTACACTTATCAATGACAATATCTTGTATTTATATAGTGCTTTGTGGTTAAAAAGTGTGTGTGCATGTATGTGTGTATATTAAGACAACCCTATGAGGCAGATAATGTCATAATTAGTAGTGATGATAAGAATAACTACTTATATTTAAATTGTATTCTACAGAGTTCTTTTTAGGAATCTCACATTTAATCCTCACAGCAATCCTGTGAAGTAGGTATTGTTTAAGTATTATTTATTAGTTAACTAGCATTTATTCAACATTATGTACAGGCATTGTGCTAAGTAGTGAGTTATAGAGAAAGGCAAGAAACAGTCCCTGCTATGAAAGGAGGTGCTATCAGTCTAATGGGAGAGACAACATGCATACAACTATATACAAACAAGATGTATAGATATTTATCTATGCATACATACTTACATACATACATGACATATTAGGGATAGTTTCAGGGGGAAGGAGAGACTGGGAAAAGCTTCTTAGGTGGGAAATTAGAAGAAACTTAGAGGAAGGCAGGGAAGCTAGAAGGTAGAGTTGAGGAAGGAGAATATTATGGATATGGGGGACAAAAATTCTGTTTAGAACTGGAGTGTCTTGTCTGAGGAGCAGCAAGAAGGCCAGCATCAATGGGTGGTAGAGTATGCTAAGGGGAGTAAAGTATATGAAGACTGCAAAGGTAGGAGGGGGCCAGGTTATGAAGGGCTCTAAAAGCCAAATATAGGATTTTATATTTAATTCTGGTTATAATAGGGAGCCACCTGGAGTTGATTGAATAGAGGGGTAACATGAGGGAGCTAGGTAGTACAATGGATAGAGTGCCAGACCAGGAGTCAGGAAAATCAGAGTTCAAATCCAGCTTCTGACACTTACTAGCTGTGTGACCCTGGGCAAGTCACTTAACTCAGTTTGGCTTAGTTTCCTCATCTGTAAAATAGGCTGGAGAAGAAAATTACAAAGCACTCCAGTATCTTTGCTAAGAAAACCCTAAATGAGGTCATGAAGAGTTCTGGAGACAACTGAAAAATGACTGAAAAGCAACATGGTCGGACTTGATACTTTAGAAAGTTCAATTTGACAGTTGAATGCAGGATGGATTGGAATGGGGAGAAATTTGAGGCAGATAGACCAACAGGTTATTGCAATAATCCAGTCATGAGGTGATAAGGGCCTGTCACCAGGGTGGTAGCAGTGTCAAAAGAGAGAATGGGACGTATACAAGCAATGTAATAATAAAGATAGAAATGACCCATATTTGCAATTGAATTAGATTATGGGGAGGTGAGAGTGACTGGGAGGATGGTGGTGCCCAAGAAAGAAATAGGGAAGTTAGGAAAAGGGGATGGTTTGAGGGAAAAGATAACTATTGCTGACCTCCCACTGCTCATTAAAAACCAGAAGTGGTGGGAGTAAATCCATATGTCAAATAAACATATATATCAAGCAAAATAAATCCAAATAATAGCCATATCCAAAAATATGTCTTTTAATTTTGTGTCTATTACCTCTCTGTCAGGAGGTAGGTAACATGTTTCATCATAAGACCTCTGGAGACATGGTTGTTCATTGCAGTGATCAGAACTCTTAAATCTTTTAAAAGTTTTTCTTTCTCATTTTGCTGTCCTTGTATAAATTGTTATTCTGATGCTGTTCATTTCATTCTGTTTCACTTCATACTGTACTACACAGGACTTTCTGAAATTATTTTTTGATTGCTTGTTACAATGCAGTAATATTCCATCACATTCATATAGTGCACTTTGCTCTTCCATTAATCAGTTGTCTACCATTAGGTTCAAGTACTCCCCCCTCCCCATTTTTAATCCTCCTTCAAGATTAAGAACTATGTTTTGCTTGAGTATTCCCTCCCTAGTATTATCCTCCCTCTAAAACCCTTTGCTGCCCCTCCCTTTCCCCCTTGTTTCCCTGTTGAGTTTGCTGTACTTCTATATCAAACTTTATATGATAGTATACATGTATTCAACAGCCCTTTGCTGATTGTGGATGAATGAGATTTATCTAATGTCCACTTTCTTCACTCCTTCCTCCATGTTTGTATATTCTTAAACATTCCATTTACGAGGAATAGTAAGTTATAACTTCTTTTTCCTTTTCTCTGTACTGTTTTCCCCACTTGTTCTACATTCTTACTCTCCTCTTGAATCCCTCAGAAAAAAAAAGTTTATCTCTTAGGGCTTTTTTTTTTTAGTCCTTGAATGCCCTTTGAAGGCATTACTCTCCTGAAGTGACACTTTCTTTTTTCTCTTTTAACATGTTAGCACTCCATCATCCTACAACTCCTTCCAGTTTCCTACATAAATTTACCTTTCCATGTCTTTCTGGGTTTTTATGTTTGTATTTCAAAGTTCTTTTTCAGCTATAGTCTTTTCAGAAATGCTTGAAAGTTCCTTCCTCCTGTAAAGGTCAATTTTCCTCCCTATAGGTTGTATTTAACTTTACAGGGTAAGTCATTCTAGCTTTGTCTTTTGGAATATTATAAGATCTCCTCTTGAATATAATATAAGCTGTCCAATCTTGTGTGAGCCTTCTGAATGCTTGCAGTATCTTTTCTTTGGGGGAGCTCTGGATTTTGTCTATAGCATTCCTGAGACTTCCTTTTGAGAATCCTTTCAGGAGATGATTGGTGGATTCCTAACACTTTAACCTTGATCTCTGATTCTAATAGACCTGGGCAGTTTTAATTTCTGATTTCTTGTAACATATTGTCAACTTTTTTATTTTTAAAACATGGTTTTCAGGGTGTCCAATGATTCTTGATGATCTCTCCTTGCTCTGTTTTCCTAGTCCTTTTTTTTTAAAAACTCATCTATATTACTCCCTCAAGCAATGTAGGCCAGTACCTTTTGTACCATGAACTGTCTTAGAGAATTGCCTAAAGCAACTTTCCAGTTTGCACCATGTTGGTTCATATAAATAGCAATATTACCATATTGCTAAAAAAATTCTTCAAAAGCCCTTATTTATGCATTGTACACACAGATGATGAAACAAAGATAAAGAATTATATGGAAAAAAAAGAATTATATGATATTTAAGGTTTATGTATGTGGGAGGGTTGTCTTTTGAAAAACTGAAATTTTCCTTGTTTAAAGCAACAATTACCATGTAGGGTTTTTATATATATCTTTAACACTATCCATTAATTTTTGCTATTTTATATTTTTAAAAAATCATTCAATAGCCAATCTTGGGGCTTGTCTCCAACATAATAGCACCTATTCTTATCCTTAAACAGGACCCAAATCGATTCCTCCCTCAGCTCTGCGAGCTACCAACCTCTTCACTGCCCAGCTGCTCCCAGCTGGAAGTCATGGTCTTCAGGATAGCTATAACTCCTGTATGATGCTCAGAATAGCCAGAGATCAGATGGTTTTGAGAAAATTGCTACCACCCCTCAAGCTCAAGGGTCACTTCTTGCCTTTAGCAGAGATCCTTCAGAGGCCAGATTCTGTTCTGAGTTAGTGATTTTTGAGTAAGAACCCTGACCTGTTCCCATGTCCACCTTAACTACCCCTCCCCTTTTTTTGTTTTTGTATAGGATAGATTGAGGTGTATAGAATAAGCAGGCATGGGTGGGATATGATCCATTATAGATCTTATTATAATATCTTTTCTTTTTTTTCTTATCTATTTTTCCCCCAAATTTATCTATTTCTAATAAAGAACACCACCCACTTTCTGGTCATCTAAATTTATAGCTTTACTGTCATCTTTGACTCCTCATTTTCCTTCATTCACATATCTGGTAGATTGCCATCTTCTAGTCATAGAGCCACAGCTCTAGTTGAGGCTTTTTAACATTCATCATCTGGATTATTGGCATACATAATCATACCCAGATTAGAGATTTATGTTAAATTTTTGCTAATAAGTATGTCCTGGTTTTAAATCCCACATCTGATACTCACTGGCTGTGTGATGGTTAATTTCTCTGCTGTGTTCTAACTTGTAAAATAATGCCTATCTCATAGGATGGTTGTAAGACTGAGATGAAATAATTTGTGTAAAGCATTTTGTAAACCTTAAAGCACTATATAAATGTGAATTAGAATTACTTCTAATATTATATTTTGAAAAGGACAAAGTTGGTTGAAAATGCCAGTTACTTTAAAAGGGACCTTAATATAAAAAATACTTCATCCCTAAGCATAAATAGAAAAAGAAATACTGCTACTGACTAGAACTGAAAGTTTTATCTTATTTAAGCATTAAATTGTTCTTTGTATCAGCCCATTCTGTTTAATATCCATTACTTAATGTAGTGCTATAGAAATATTATCTATTTGACTATACATGGAATTGTTGATTTAAGAATAATGTGTAAGGGATACTAAGAATTCCATAGTTCTAGTATCATAAGAAAATTGTTTATTGTTTTGGTATATATAAAATTTGTTTTTTCAACACTATCTTTCGAATACTGATCATTTGAATTTTAAGATGAAATAATTTCTTTTTTAATTTTCTGTGTTTAAGCATGGAGGAATCTATGTAAAACGAAGTGCCAAATTTAATGAAATGGAAATGAGAAACAAGCTACAGAGGCAGATGGATACAGGCACTCCAGTAAGATTATGCTGTGTTCTCCCTTTGTTAATGTAATTGTTATTTGCCTATGATCCACTATGTTTTAATTGAAGAAACCTTTTTTTCTCAAATTAATATAAAGTTCATATTGATTTTAATTAAGGAGGTTTCATTTCTTGACAGTTCTTATTTAATAGATAACCAGCATTAAATTTAGCTACATACTCTATAATCTTTCTATTCAGTGCGTTTTTGTTAGGGTCATACATAGATAAAATGATAAACACAAAATGGGTGGACAAAGGTTTTATTCATCTTGATTATTATTAAGATTAATGTGAAGCAATCAATTCAGTGATTAGTATTAACTAAAAATATGGCTAAAATTAACATTTTAAATTTTATTTCTTTTATTCAATGCACAAATATAGTATAGACTTAGTAAAAACTAAGTGACCCTCTGCCTTTCAATAGTAAACCTTTTTGTGTTGAGGATAGGTTTTTTTTTAATTGCATTCATTGAATTGTCTGAAAGTTGTTTCAGGATTCATAAATTTACAAACATAAAAACATACTAATTCATTTTTTGCAATATTTTGTAATGGCATGACTTTGCTACCAAAAAAATTTCAGTAATTTTCCTTCAAAAGTATATTGCTACCAAATGATTTTTTTCTCATGACTTCTCTTTAGAAGCAAAGCTCAATGATTGTAATTGTCATATTTTGGTTGTTCTTTTTATACCCACACCTCTTTCTATGTATATCCCTTTTAAATTTGATTTGTTCTTGATGTTATAATGTAGTATAACTTTCTGACTAACTGATTCAAACTCAAGTGATAGATTGCAGGTCACTTTTTTTTCTGAAGCAATTAGGGTTGAGTGACTTGCCCAGAATCACACAGCTAGTAAGTGTTATGTATCTGAGGCTGGATTTGAACTCAGGTACTCCTGACTCCAGAGCCAGTGCTCTATCCACTGCACCACCTAGCTGCCCTGATTGCAGGTCATTTTAAAAAGGATTATCTTAATATAGTCTAGTGAATCATGAATAAGTTTATAATATTGGTTTGTTTTTTTCTCTTACCATAAAACCCTGTTATTACTGAATGTTTTTGCAATTACAAACATGAAAGCTTTAAAAATATAAACGTACTTGGTGTTGGAAGCTTGGGAACTCTCTGTGAGGGAACTTCCTTTACCAATGCAGATGAACATCTGTTCCCCAATATACCATTAGATAATTGCCTAGAATACTATGAGACTAAGTAACTTACCCAAGGTCACATAGTCAATAAATGTTGGAGGTGGAGCTGGAACCCAAGTTCTCCTGACCTGGAGGCTAGTTCTCTAGCCACTGTACCACATAGGCTGTTCTTTAGTAACCAAAATCAAAAATTTTTTTTTTATAATTTAACAGAGCTAGCAAAATTGGTTTCTATGTGGGAAACCACTAAGTGACTACCATAGTATTTTAATAGTAATATGTAGTTTTTTTTAATTAAAGAAGTTTTCTAATTTCCATTACTTTTTGTTTCTCTACCTTAGGGAGGAGAACACAATTTGAACCTAGAGTTATTCTAAGGAAAAGGTCATATGTGACTGAATATTATTCATATTCCTTTCCCTATAGTTTTGTTCATACTGTGTTATACCTTTATCTCGCTGAAAACAAATTTGGTTGTTCCTCAGCTGAAGTTAATTTGCAAGAAAATGGTTATAATGCCACCTTTAAAGAAGAAAGGAGTATTTCTTTGTTTTCTTAAAGTAGAGGTGATTTAGTTAGTATAATAATGATATGGTTATGGTTTGATGATATGTAGATTTATCAAAACTGAGATTGTGTAGAAAGAGTTCAATGATCAGTTAGTCTACCTGCTTCTAATCATAACCAAATCATTTCAGGAAGATAATGATCTACTCTTACCTTTTCCTTGTTCTACACTCTTTACCTTAGGTAACTAATGTAGTAACATTTTTAGTAATAAAGAAAGTTTTTTGAAGAAAGAATATCAATCACTCCTGCTTTGGAATGACATAACAGAATGTCATTACTGCCCCCTTTCTTGTAATTTGAGGCCAGATGAAGGGGATTTAGATGTTCTGCCATGATCTGAAATGACCTTTAGATTCTATGTAAGATTACTTTGACATCTGAAACCAAAATGTGTTTGGGATTTATTCTTCAGTAGGCCTTATTATCTAGAATCATTTAGGTTGTCCCATTAAAGCAAACCTATTGTTTTATTGCTAGAAGCTAGGGTCTTTTGAGTGTCTTTGAGACCTGGGTTGGTGACTTAGCATTACATTGGGCCTCCTGGCACCACTATGGATAGAAACACAAATTACTTCAATGTACTTTGATTCAGGATTATACTAGAACTAGACTAGCATCAGTACCTAGGGTAAACAGTTTTAAGATGCTTATTATATTTCATGTTAAAATAGTGTAATTTTTGTCTGTTGCTCCTGGTTTAGTGAAAATATGTGATAGCTGGTTTATGTTTTCATTTAAAATAGTATATTTAAGATTTAATATATTTAAATAGTATATATATTATATATGTATTTAATATAATAGTATATTTAAGTCATTCCTTAAGCATAAACCTTTAAAAATTTTATTTAGAAGTGTCACACAGCCTGGTATTTCACTTTAGTATATTCTTTGATTTTAAGCACTACTTACTTATTTGTCACCACTGTAGATATGAGTTTAGTAAGGCAATGCACTAGTTCAAAGGCTTGAGCCTCTTGAGGACATGCCAGCACTAAGTGCCAAGTTAGTATTGCCTCAAATTAGGCCATCCCACCAAAAATAAAGAAGGTAGTAATTAGAACAGGGAATTCTGATTTTTCAAAGATTTATTTTTAAAGGAAGAGTCTAATACCTTAAAATAAGTATTTTAAGTAGTACTTTATAGGCATATGTGGATAGAGTGCTGAACCTGAAGTCAGGAAGACCTGAGTTCAAATTCTGCCTCAGACACTTGTTATTCAACCCTAGGCAAATCACTTAACCTCTTGTTTCCTTAGTTTTCTCAACTTTCAAGTAAAGATAATTCTACCAACTACCTCCCAGGGTCATTGTGAGCATCAAATGAGATAATATTTGTAAAGCATTTAGCACACTGCCTGCCACATAATAGGTGTTTGATAAATATTCTTTCCCTTTACCTATCCCCTTAAAAGCTTATTTTGTACTATCATGTGCAGATGTATATATACTCATGCATTCATTGTAAGTACATAGTCTATATTGTTATCAGACATACAAGAGGTGAACAAACACTACTGATGTCATGGAAAAAGATAGGGTTTTATTTGTGTATACACACATAAATCTTGTATATATGATTAATATTATTTCCCCCCAAAGAATCTGGTTTCACTGGGCCTTTTATTTAAAAAGAAATACTATTAGGCACTTCTCAAGACTTTGTTTCCCCCCCTTGAATCTAGATTAGTAATCTCTCTTTTATGTCTTCAGCTTCTATTCCTTGTCTAGGTGCTAGTTCATGTCCTTTTGTACACAGTCCTTAGATTCTTATCGGTTTCCTGCAAATTTTGGTAACTTGGTAGTTTTGACAGATAACTTTCAAACAGAAAAGAAATATTAATAACATTAACAGAATTAATCTCTTTAGGTTACTTTGCTTCTTTTATAAATAATAGTTATTTTAGTTTTATAAGAGGTCTCTAAGTCTGTTGTTCACTAGCAAAGCCTGGATTTTAGATTACTTTAAGCAATCATACCTTGTTCCTTAAGTCTTATGCCTATCAGCAAGAAGAATTCAGCAAACACTGAACACCTAAATGTAAGGAACTGTTCAGTGCTGGGGATGCAAAGATGAAAATGGAAGTCTGTTTCCTAAAAGGAACTTGTATTCTCTTGAGAAGTGGAGTGGATATAACATGCAGATATATAGGTAAAATATAAGATAGAGAATGCCAGACAAAGCATTGGAAGAGAATATGAGGTGGGAAGGAGCATTAGCAATTGTGGGTGAGGGCCAGAGGAATTTGGGAGGGCTTTGTGGAGAAGGATATTTCCTGACTAAGCATTTAAAGAAGATAAGGATCTTGAATGACTAAGATGAAGGAGTGAATTCCAGGCTTTAGCCATGACTTATGCTAATAATGCCTAAGCAGAGAATGGCATGTCATGGAAGAGAAAGTAATCTAATTTGATTGGAATAGAAAAAATTATGAAGAAAATCATCAAAAATTAGGCTGTAAAGGTAGGTTGGAGCCATATTTTGGAGTTCTTAAATTTTAAACTGAAGAGTTTGTGTTTTATCTTAGAAGCAACAGGGAACACATTAAGGTTTTATGATCAGAGTAGTAATGTGCCCAAATCTGTGCCTCAGGAAAATTATTTTAGCTGTATGGAGGATAGATGATAGATGAAAGGGAAATAGAAAAACAGGGAGACCAATTAGAGGACTTATTGTGGTAAAGGCAAGTACCAATAAGAGAGTCTAGATTTTGATGGTTATGTGAGTAGAGGGGTTGACTATGAGCAGATTTGTGGAGGTAGACTGGATAGCCTTGGCCAGTGATTAGATAGGGACTTTGAGGAACAACATAGTCAGTATACAGGTAATTGTTTTGCCTTTGTCAAAGGAAAATATTGGAGCTATTCCCACTTCCCAGATTATTTTGTGAAATAGGTCAGAAATACTAAAAAAAATAACAGGAGTTAATTAAACTGAGTATTCTGGACTTAATTGCTAAACTAGATGGATATTTCTGACCTCTCCCCTCTTTCTTCTCCCCCAAGTGAAAATGACTCTTTGGATTCAATTTTTCACAGAACTTTGGGTAGATCCTAGTCTTTTGTGCTTATCCTAGTCTTCCTTTTTTCTTATTTATTTTTGTATATTCTTTTTCCTTTCTTGGGTTAAACTCCTCAAAAGCAGGGCATGTGTTATATTTATTTTAGCATTCTCAGTAGAGGCAATGAAATGGCAATGGATAGAACACTGGGCCTAGAGTCAGGAAGACCTGAGTTCAAATCTGGCCTTAGGTACTTAAT